CGCCTCAGCACAGCACAGCACAGCTCAGCTCAGCACGGCTCGGCTCAGCTCAGCACAGCTCAGCACAGCCCAGCACGGCTCAGATCAGCACGGAACAGCTCGTGGCACTTTCTCGACACCACACGGGGTGCGCAGGGGTTGGTCTCTCAGCTCGGCCGCTGTCCACGACATTGGCGCAAAGCCTAGCAGGCGTGGCACTCTCTCGACACCAAAGGGGGTGGGCAGGGGGTGGTCTCTCAGCTCCGCCGCTATCCACGACACTGGCGCAAAGCCTAGCAGGCGTGGCACTCTCTCGACACCAAAGGGGGTGGGCAGGGAGTGGTCTCTCAGCTCGGCCGCTATCCACGACACTGGCGCAAGTTTGCATGCGTGGCACTTTCTCGACACCACAGGGGGTGCGCAGGGGGTGGTCTCTCACCGCGGTCCCTATCCACGACACTGGCGCAAAGCTAGCAGGCGTGGCACTTTCTCGACACCACAGGGGGTGCGCAGGGGGTGGTCTCTCAGCTCGGCCGCTATCCACGACACTGGCGCAAAGCCTAGCAGGCGTGGCACTTTCTCGACACCACAGGGGGTGCGCAGGGGGTGGTCTCTCAGCTCGGCCGCTATCCACGACACTGGCGCAAAGCCTAGCAGGCGTGGCACTTTCTCGACACCACAGGGGGTGCGCAGGGGGTGGTCTCTCAGCTCGGTCGCTATCCACGACACTGTCGCAAAGCCTAGTAGGCGTGGCACTTTCTCGACACCACAGGGGGTGCGCAGGGGGTGGTCTCTCAGTTCGGCGCTATCCACGACACTGGCGCAAAGCCTAGCAGGCGTGGCACTTTCTCGACACCAAAGGGGGTGGGCAGGGGGTGGTCTCTCAGCTCGGCCGCTATCCACGACACTGGCGCAAAACCTAGCAGGCGTGGCACTTTCTCGACACCACAGGGGGTGTGCAGGGGGTGGTCTCTCAGCTCGGCCGCTATCCACGACACTGGCGCAAAGGCTAGCAGGCGTGGCACTTTCTCGACACCAAGGGGGTGGGCAGGGGGTGGTCTCTCAGCTCGGCCGCTATCCACGACACTGGCGCAAAGCCTAGCAGGCGTGGCACTTTCTCGTCACCACACGGGGTGCGCAGGGGGTGGTCTCTCAGCTCGGCCGCTATCCACGAAACTGGCGCAAAGGCTAGCAGGCGTGGCACTTTCTCGACACCACAGGGGGTGCGCAGGGGGTGGTTTCTCAGCTCGGCCGCTATCCACGACACTGGCGCAAAGCCTAGCAGGCGTGGCGCTTTCTCGGCACCGCAGGGGGTGCGCAGAGGGTGGTCTCTCAGCTCGGCCGCTATCCACGACACTGTCGCAAAACCAAGCAGGCGTGGCACTTTTGCGACACCACAGGGGGTGCGCAAGGGGTGGTCTCTCAGCTCGGCCGCCATCCACGACACTGGCGCAAACCTAGCAAGCGTGGCACTTTCTCGACACCACAAGGAGGTGCGCAGGGGGTGGTCTCTCAGCTCGGCCGCCATCCACGACGCTGGCCAACCTAGCAGGCGTGGCACTTTGTCGACACCAAAGGGGGTGGGCAGGGGGTGGTCTTTCAGCTCGGCCGCTATCCACGACAGTGGCGCAAAGCTTTGCAGCCGTGGCACTTTCTCGACACCACAGGGGGTCTCTGAGCGCGGCCGCCACTCACGGCACTGTCGCAAAGCTTAGCAGGCGTGGCACTCTCCCGGGACTATAGGGCCAGCGCAGGGGGTGATCTCATGGTGCAGTGATTATCCACCGCATTGCGCGTGAGAGCTTGCGTCTTACCCTGATCCGTAAACATCGCGGCTCAAGCCGGCGCGGCACGACTGCGCATTTACGCAAGTTTGTCTGTGCCCCAACCTGCGGGCAACAAGCGCCCGGCCTACGCGCGGCAGCAATGCCGCCCAAAATTGATGTTGGACAGCTGCCGCCTCCGTGCGTGAAGCTGAAGAACGCACTGACTGAAATGGGCGACGATGTAAGCCTTGAAGGCTTGCGCGGTTGCGAGGGGCCTCTGATAAGAAACGCATTCGATGCCTATCACCGTCAACTGAAGAATTGGTGGCCCGAGACGCTTTACATGAGGTATAACGAGTTGCCGCACCCAGGTACGAACGACGATAGCAGGAGGAGGCAGTGCCTGGTGGCATACTTGCTGAACCCTTCGTCCGGCGGGTTCCCGGCTGATCAGCCAGGGGGCAGTGCGGAGGATGGCGATGGCCCGCCGTTGGCGAAAGTTCGGCGGGTCGGCGACGCCGGCAACGGGGGCGTTGCCACGCCCGCGCAGGACACGCCTATCAAGTGCACGCCCATGCAGGCCTTCACTCCTCAGCGGTCCCCAGCACTTCTGCTTGCTACCTCTGTTCGTTCCACGGGTACCTCTCGCATTCAGCTGTCCCCTGAGCTGGCTCAAACGGACCGCCGTTGGGCAGAAGTACCTTGGTCGCAAGGCCTGCGAGAATCAGTTCAGCTCGAGAACCTGTTGACGAAAGCGGATGCGAAAGCAGTCAAATGGTACAAGGCATTCGCGGCCAAGCGAGCTTCTGATCCATAGGGAACGTTCGCGACGAGGGCTCAGAACGCAGGATTGTGCATATATACATATATATAGTATACATAAGCAAACACATAAGATTTGAATTAAGTATGTGCGGTTCCTCGGTAGCGTAATTTGTTTTTCGTCGACAATCCCCCTGTAGGAGAGGGCCGGCGGGCCCCCGTCAGCGCTGACCCCCGCGGCGTTGGCATCGGGTCGGGCGTGTCCCCCAACAGGCGGCTTTGGGACGAAAAATGAAGCGTGCCCAACAGAATGCTCGAAAATTGCCAGAGCAGAAGGCGAAATATCGTCCCCATACTATGTTTTTGCTATTTTTGATTGCTCCTCCTATAGAGGGACATGCCCGACTTAACGCTGGCACCGACCGACCTTTTACAGGCTTCCCAGCTGGGGTCCGACCAGGTGGACTCGGAAGCTCACGCCGCGTCGTCGATGCATCGACGATGAGTCGACGATGCATCGGCGACGTCGGCCGTGCGTCGGCGACGCCGGCGAGAAAATCAAGCTCCACATCGAGCCGCATCGCAGATCGCCGATGCATCGGCGATGCGGCACGATCCTCCGAAACCATCGACTCCGACCCTATCTCGGAGGCCTAGACTACTGTACCGTCCCCCTGTTCTGGTGCACAGACATGCCTGCGTCGTGGCAAACAAAAATCACGATGAAGGTTTTTTGTATGTTTTCGGCATAGAAAGGCCCTCGGCCAGGCCTCGGGACCGCAGAAGAAGCAGCCCGGGACCCGGGACGACTAACGGGCCCTGGGGAAAGGGGGGCGGAACGTCAGGGGGCCCAGCAATGGCACAGTCATGACATCGGATGCCTGGGTGTGGAGGTCTCTCGAGAGATGTCCGAGCAGGTGGGGTCGTAGGATCGCGCCGCATCGCCGATGCACGAGCGATGCATCGGCGATGTCCGCGTGGAAAAACAAAGCGGGCTCCACATTGAGCAACATCACCGGTGCATCCGCGATGCGGCGCGATCCTCCGACCCCATCTGCTCGGACACCACTCGTGGTGCCTAGAGTCCTTGATACTCCGAAAGACTTCTCCACAGTGAGCAGCATCGCCGGTGCATCTGCGATGCGGCGCGATCCTCCGACCCCATCTGCTCGAACACCACTCGGGGTGCCTGGAGTCCTTCCTTATGCTCCGAGAGACTTCTCCACAGCGAGCCGCATCGCCCGTGCATCTGCGATGCGGCGCAATCCTCCGGCCCCATCTGCTCGGACACCACCCGTGGTGCCTGGAGTTCTCGGTGCTGCCTTGAAGGGCCTCAGACGAGGAGCGAGGCCACAGAGCTCGACTGTCCCGTGTGTGCTCTCTCCTCTCTGCTCACTCCCGCCGGCAGCGCACCGAGGGACCCAGACCGACCCCCGACGTCATGCTTTTTTCGTGCCGCGACACCCAGAGGTCCGGACGCCTTCCCCGGGACCGGTTGTTCCTCCTGCAGCGTTTCCTGACGGTCCCGAGGGCCGGCGATGACCCCCAGGGGCCGAGAATAGCGAAGCACCTCCCGTCGTGACTTAACTTTTGACGGTCCCGGGGGCCGGTGCTGGCCCCCGGGGGGGGGCCGAGAATAGCGAAAAGCCTCCCGCCGCGATGCTTCTTCACGGCGCGAGGGGGGGGGGGGTCTGGGGAGGGGCTGCGAGGGGGCGGGCCCTCTCGGACGGCGGCAAGGGCTCCTCGGCGGCCCCCCCCCCCCGCCCCCCCGAGAGGCCCAGGCCGCGCCTCGCAGGGAGAGCCCCGCAGGCCTTCCGGGGGGAAGGCCGGAGGCCTCCGGAGCCTTCTGGGGGAGCCCCGCCCCCTCTCGGGACCTCTAATAGAGACCGATCTGGACCGCCCAGAGCACTTCAGCGGGGAATTTGGATGTGGAGGTCCTGGTGCTATTTTTTGTTTGCCCTCCTGGGAAATCAAGGCTGCCCTTCCCCCTGTTTGGACGCCCGAAGTGGGTACGGAAAGAACGGGTACAATGCCCAACAACAAACCTTGTCCCAAACCAACAGCGGCCGCTGTTGGGCAGGCGGCCCTCTGTCTCGAATGGACACAGGCCGCGGCGGCGTGGACAGCGAATCCTGTTCGAAATGAACAGGAGCGGCTGTTGGACATTGTACCCATTCTTTCCGTACCCATTTCGGGCGTCCAGACCCCGGGCAGGCCGCCGATCCTCTCGTCTCTCTCTTTGCGCATGGGCCGGCGGTATGGGCATTCCCGAGGGCCCGACACGAAGGGTTCCTATGGCCCCCCAGAGATGTTCTGAGAACAAGCACAACATGTCCTCAGAACATAGGCCCGACGTGGTAAAACGAGAGAGTCTCGACCAGAAATGTTCCAGTGACATTTCGTGCAGGGCACTTGCAAAGGGTTCTCAGAGCATTCTTTGGTGGGACGCTTCGCCACTGCTTGATCTCTCCTCCACCGCTCACCCCAGGCGTCCAGCACTTCGGATATCTTCAGCCTGTCGCCCGGCTCCAGCATGGTGCCTGAGCCACCGGGGGGAACCCACCAGCAGGCGGTCGGGGGGTGCAGCAGGGAACGGGCACGGGGGCGGGGGAGGGAGGGGGAGAGCGCGCGAGGAGGTCGGAGGGTGGAGGGCAAAGGGAAGACAGACGCAGGACGCAGCGCAGGGACTGGAGTCGTGCAAGCACGCGACCTGACCTGCATGATTAAAGAACTCGCCACCGCTCGGCCGTCCACTCCCCCGTGCAGGTCTCGATTTCGTGGCTGCATTTGCTTCGGAGGATGACCCGAGATGCTCCTCGCAGAAGAAAAGGTGCACACGTCCGAGCGATGCCAAGAGCAAGGGCCCGCCTGTGGCGTGCAGAAGAGAGTTTCCAGCGAGCGGGCCGCGGAGCGCGGCACACCGTCGAGAGAGGGCGACAATCTGCTGCAGGGGTCGGGGGCTCTGTGGGGCAGTCAGCCGCGAGACCACTGAGCTGGGCTGTGCTGGGCGGAGGCGGACTGTCGAAGAAAAAGAAAAAGAGCACGACAGAGGGTCATCTGCCCATTTTCTTACGATTCCCAAATAAACTCTCCTGTGGAGGGACACGCCAGACCTGAGAATGGTAAAACTTCTCTCGAGCGGCGAACGCACCCGTGTCCGCGCCCTCGGGGTCTGGATTCCGGGGCGCGATCCCGCGCGGATGCGCGGGATCGCGCGGATCGCGCTCCGCGCGGAGCATCCGCGAAGAGAACGCCTCGTACCCGCGGGGTGGCAGCCCAATGGCCTGGCCCGCGAGGCCGAGGACACGGACATGCATAACAGGAGATACGTCGACGCCGATCCCAGGCTCCGTGGTGTTTTCGAACGGACCAGCAATAGTTGAGGCCCATCCGCTGGGATGCGCGACGAGGGAGGCGTCCATCCTCGGTAGGGGTGTCCGAACAGCCCCCTTTGGGTGTGATTATCCCAAGTTTCCCCCCTTTGTCTGAGCGGCCAAACTTTTCGGGGCGGAACTCGGGGATTGGTGGAGAAACATCGCCTGCGAATGTATTATGCCCGCGAGGAGAAGCGGGGGGGGGGAGGAGGGAAGGGATGGATCCTGAGTGTTCTCGCGATGCTGCACTACAGGGCCGCCCTCCAGAACGCGAGCCTGAATCCCCAAAAAACCAGTCTGCACGCTACGCGCGCCCTCGCGCGCGCCGACAAGCACGACGGTTGGGGAGCCGTCACGGCACAAAAGAAAAAACCCTAAACGCATACAGTCAACCCGTACTGTTGGGGGATAGACAGACCCCCCTTTAGCAAAACGTGGTTTAGTGAAAACGACCGGAGGCCCAAACCTGGCGGGCGCAAGCCTGGAAAAAAACGGCCACGGCGCCCTCTCGAGAACCGAAAACGGACAATTCACTAATCGACGTGTCACTGTTGAGGGTTCTGTCCACTCCCGAACTGTAAGGAGGCACGATAAGGATGCGACAAGCGCCGATACCGCTCCGCGCGGGGCTGCGGGAGCGCGCCTTGAAGGCGACGGCGGTGGGGCCGTCGAAAGTGCGGCAGCGCGACGGCGTCGTGCCGGGGGCGCGGACAACGAAAGTGGCCAAGGATAGACGAAGGAGGCAAGGATGCAAGGGTAAAAATGTAAAGTCCTTCATTCTTACTGTACGGGTTCAGAAGTCCCCCAAAGGCCCCCTAAGAGTCCAAGAGCAGCCCCGCGAGAACCCTGAGAAGCAGCCTGGGATGTCGAAATCACTGATTTCCTGGATCCCTGTTCAATGTTTCTCGCGCTCTCACCCTTTCGAGCTTAACACGCCCCAAGACGTTCGAGCTTCGGACGCCCCAGAGATAGCCTAAGAGGCCCCCCAAGGTCGCCCCAAGGTCGCCCCAAGGGGCCCCCGAACTCGCCCCAAGACAGGCCAAGGACGCCCCAAGAGGGCCTACAGTCAAAATATGTAGTGAGGACCCGCTGCAATGACGCAAGACCCTTTGGCGGTCCATGGACGCCCCAATTGAAGCTTTTCTAGCGGCGCACTGCCGGGAAAATCTAAGGACGCAAGGGTGACCTTGGGAAGGTGACCCGTCCTTCCTATGGATCTTCATTGTACAAAGCTCCCAAGACCGCCCCCAAGACGGCCCAAAAGGCCTCCGAGAGTGACCCCCCGCCAGCCCCAGAAGGCTCCAAACGCTCTGGGACGTCCCCACGAGAGCCCGGGGGGCGCTCCAGGGCGTCACCGTCGTCGACGGCGTCGTCGTCAACTTCGTCGTCGTCGTCGTCCTCGTCGTCCTCGCCATCGTCATCATCGTCGTCGTGTTCGTCGTCGTCGTCGTCGTCGCCGTCATCATCGTCGTCTTCGTCATCGTCGTCGTCTCCGCCGTCGCCATCACCGTCGCTGTCGCCCTCGCCGCCGCCATCGCCATCGTCGCCGCCGTCGCCGCCGTCGCCGTCGCCGTCGCTGTCGCTGTCGCGGTCCTTGCTCACAGGCTGGGTTGTCTCCCTCCCCCACCCCCTTATCCTTCGTCTCTTCCATTCCACCCTGTCCTGCTTCGCTCCCGTACTTCGCCCATTGCGTGCGACACCCAAACATCGCCACTGCAAACGCCGACCCCATGACCCATCGACACATCCGCCAGACCCTGTGCCAACCACCAGTCGTACATTCTGCCAACCACCAGTCGTACATTCTGGGTCATTGTTTGGTGGTCCCCGGATAGTGGAAGGCTCCAGAGAATCCAAAAAGTCGCGAGGGGGGCCTGGATCCCAGGACATCCCTCTTCCTCACAGATGCGCCCCGGTGCCCCTCTCACCCGATGCGTGTTAGAATACCTGCTGGGTGTCCTGCGGGGCCTCTGCAGCGTTCCAGAGGCGCGCCCCCCTCCCTCGGTCCTCCTCCTCCTCGTCCTCCCCCCTCCCGAGCACTATCAGGACGGCTCCAGGAGGGTGCCTGGGCGGAGAACCGAAACGGACATCTGGAGCCCTCGGCCCCAAGAAGCTCTCCGGAGGCCCGTTCAAGGTCATCTCGCTATTCCTCCCCCTCCTCCTCCTCCCCCTCCTCCTCGTCCTCCTCCTCCTCCTCGTCCTCGTCGTCGTCGTGAGGCGCTCTCAATCATGACTCTGGAGGTCTGGGTGCGAGCAGGCTTCGGGAAGAGGCCGAGGATCGGGTCGGGCGAAAGGGGGGGATAGCAAAGGGGGGGGTTGAGAATCAGCTCACGTAGCTGATTTTCCCGGCGCCTCCCGGCGCCGGAGGCGGCCATGTATCGAAGAATGGGCCCCTCGGTGAGGCCGAAACCAGCTGCATGCAGCAAATTTCGTAACCCCCCTTTTCCCAATCCCCTCCTTTCGCCCGGCCCGAGAGGAGGAGGCAGAGGACGAGAGCCAGAGCCTGCAACAGATCTTGCAGCATCAGCCGGGGGAAGCAGCGGAGGAGGGGCGGCGCAGCGACGCGACGGCGCCCGTCGCATATATGGGCGACGCGGAGGCGTCCGTCGCAGCGGCCAACTGCCACCCTGAGATCCGACATTGTCGGGGATAGACAGACCTCCCTTTAGCAAAACGTGGTTTAGTGAAAACGACCTCGGGCCCAATCCTGGCGGGCGCAAGCCTGGAAAACAACGGCCGCGGCGCCCTCTCGAGAACCGAAAACGGACAATTCACTAATCGACGTGTCACTGTTGGGGGTTCTGTCCACCTCCGACATTGGGAACATTACAATTCATCACGCGAAGTCACGACCGCAGCCCTCGTCCCCATCTTTCTGCGGCATTTTCCGGGCGGGGGCAGCAAGGTGAGGTAGGGGCAAGAAAGGGGTCGGAAAGGAGAATCGCCCGCGACGACCCGTGGGAGAAGGAAAGGCGTCAAACCGGGAGCATTCGGCTGGGCCCGTTCCCCAGCCCCACCTTGGGAGAACCCCCCCTCGACCCTTCCAGAGTGCTAAAGCATAGCCCTCCAGACCTATAGACCGACCTGGGTTGCCGAGAACCTCGACAGGAACTACGATGCCGAGGTCCTGGTGCTATTCTTTAGCCCTCCTGGAAGGTCAAGGTACGACCCCTCGAATTCTCCCAGCCGGGGATTCGCTCTGTGAGGGCCCAGGGGGCCGGAGAGCCATGACTCCTGATCCGCCCTACTTTGGCTTTTTTTCCAACTTACAATTGCGTCGGAAATCCACCTATAGGAAGCCGAGAAAGTAGGGCGGAAATTTCTGCACCCAATATAAAGTAGGGCGGAAATCCACAGAAGCAGGGCGGAAACAGCAACCGAAAAGTAGGGCGGACATTGGCATCAGCGGGGCCTGAAAAGTGAGGCGGAAATTCCGGGCCCTACGAACGAATTTCCCCAAAGTAGGGCGGATCCGGAGTCGGGGAGGGGGGGCGAAGACGCCCGGCGCGAAGACAAAAACACACGGGCAGCGCAGGGACCTGCAGGGCACGGCGGCAGCGCGGGCGGCGGGCACGGGCAGAGTGCAGACGGCAGCGGCTGCACGGGCGGCGGGGGCGGCGGCCTGCGGCGGCCTGCGGCGGCTCACTCCTCCTCCTCCTCCTCCTCCTCCTCCTCCTCCTCCTCCTCCTCCTCCTCCTCCTCCTCCTCCTCCTCCTCCTCCTCCTCCTCCTCCTCCTCCTGCCGCCCCGTAGGATGCTCGCTGGCTCGATGCGTCTGCACTGGCTGCCCACGGTGGCGCTCGGTGCACCAGCTCTCCGACGGGCCGCAGCGGCTCGCACAGTGTGCGTGTGTGTGTGTGTGTGCGTGTGTGTGTGTGTGTGTGTGTGTGTGTGTGTGTGTGTGTGTGTGTCTGCGTGTGCCTTTCCTCACCGAGCACCGTAGTCTCAGGTCGGGCATGTCCCACTACTCTAGACATTGAAGACCAACACAAACAAATCCCCGTACTATGTTTTACTATGTTTGAATACTCCCTCTGTGGAGGGACATGCCCGACTGAACAGCAGTCACAATTCTGATTGGCTGGCTGCCGCAACTGCATCTTCTCTTCTTCGGACACTCATCTGAGAGTGATGCCCAGGAGCGCCACAGGATATCGCAGAGCATTCGCAGCCTCGCCCCCCAACTCCCCCCAAGGCCTCCTGGGGCTTCTCACGGGTTCCCTCGGGGTGTCCAAACCAGGAGCCTCCGGGAGGGCCAGCCGAGACATTCACGGCGCTCCACGCCACGTGTGTTCCAGGAGCCTCACATGGCTGAAGGCCTCCCAGGAGGCTTCGGGCTTCAAATGGCACCATGAAGCCTCCAGAGACGGCCACAGAGGACGCCCTGAGAGCCAGAGGGCCCCAGAAAGCCACTAAGGAGTCCCAAGAAGGCAGAAAACGGCCCCTGCTTGTGTTCCCGCTGCTACTGCTGCTCCTTAATCATTCATCTTTCGTCCGTTCACCCGTACTCCTCCTTCTCCGCCGCCTCCTTTCCCGTGCCTTCCTCCTCATCGTCCTCCTCGTGATTATCGTCGAGCTCATGATTGCGCTTGTCCCAACAACAGACCACCACCAGCCCTGACCACAGACCCTGGACTGGTGTATAGGCCCTCTTGGCCTAGGCTTATCTAGGTCGGGCGTGTCCTCCTACAGGCGGATTTTTGATGACAAAAATGCAAAATATTAGAAAATGCCCCAAACAATTCAAAACACTACTGATACATTGTCCGCAGACTAGTGTTCTACTACTTTTGGATATACTCCTCCTGTAGAGGGACATGCCCGACTTAAGCCTAGGCCTGGAGGTCTGTACACCAGCCCAGGGCCTAAGATGGACCTGGCCAGGGCTGGTGGTGGTATTGCTGGCGCTCCTCCGAATGAACCTTCGGAGCACGGCGCGGATTCCTTGCATCGGCGCTGGGGCCTCCCTCCCTGGCGCGCGGCGCGCGACCGGGGCGGTGCGGAGCTCTGGCCAGTCTGTTTTGCTGCCATGCGCTTTGTATTACTCCTTCGCGGCCCCGCCCTCCCCGTCCCCGCCCCCGTTTCGGGGATCTACCGACCCGGACCAATCCAGACCAGGGCGTTGCAAGACCCTGCCGAATCCTGCAGGGTCCTGCGAGATCCTGCAGGAGCCTGCAGAGTGTCCTGCAAGATCCTGCAGGATCCTGCGCGCCAGCCTGCGCGCTGCAGGGACCTGCAAGATACTGCAGGATCCTGACTTGAGCCTACGCCGTGCGTTTTTCTTCGATGCTCGTCTCCTACTCCGATGTGTGAAACAAGACAGGCTCGGCCAGCAATGTTCTGAGAACATGTCGTGCAAACCACAAGGAGGTTCTCAGAACACTACCTGGTGGGCCTGTAGGCGAGCCGGGACGCTTCGCCACTGCTCGACGTCTCCTCCCTCCCCCCCTCGCGTCCCCGCGGCTGGCCCGAGAGGTCCGACTCGAAGTCGGGCTGCGACAGGATCTCGATGGGCCTGCCGTCGCTCGGCTTGAAGATCCACTCCGTGGTCTGCCGGCGCGGGCGGGGGGAACCAAGGTCTGGGTGACCCTCCGGCAGGCGGTCCGAGATCCGCTTGTAGGACTCCTCCTCCTCCTCCTCCTCCTCCACCTCCTCCTCCTCCTCCTCCTCCTCCTCCACCTCCTCCTCCTCCTCCTCCTCCTCCTCCTCCTCCTCCTCCTCCTCCTCCACCTCCTCCTCCTCCTCCTCCTCCTCCTCCTCCTCGGGTCGCCCACGGCCCCGGGGGAAACCGTGCAGCCCGACCTGAGGATGGGCTCAGGCTCGAAGTCCGAGGTCTTCGGGCGTCTTCGTCGCTCCTTGGCCATTTTTTTCAGGCCCGGCCTCGGGAGGATGCTCTGCAGCAGCGGCTCCTCGCCGAGGTGCGTTCCCAGGGGGGGGGGCCCGGCACATCCCCCGAGCGGCCGCTGGAGAGCCGAGCGAGTTATGACCCGGAAGCCAGGGGTCCTTGCGACCCAAAAGGGGGTGCAGCTGGAAGGGGGTGGGGCAGCAGCTTCTGGGCACTGGTGTCGCAAACGTACTGCGCGCAAGAGAAGTGTACTGCACTGTACTGCAAGCAATGCGCTGCACACGAAAATCCAGCCGTACATTTGCGACCAGGGACGTCCTGCACGCCCCAGGTGTACTGAGACCCCACAAACCTATTGCACCGAATCTATTGCACCACGCTGGACCCCCTTTTGGGTCAACCCGACAAGGGTGGGGAGGGAAAACCAGAACGGTATGAGGTCGGGCATGTCCTCCTACAAGCGCCTCTTCGAAGACAAATGGGACACAGTCAAAACATGATCCAAAATAGCCAGGAGCGCACGACAAATCGTTACCCGTCTGTCTTTCCTTCATTCTTGCATATTCCTCCTGTAGATGGACATGTCCGTATCCGCGCCCTCGCGGTCTGGATGCCGGGGCGCGACCCCGAAGCGACGTGGTCGCACGGACACGTTCCGCAAGGGCATCCGCGGGGTCGCGGCCCAGGGGCCCGGCACAGGAGGCCGCGGATGCAGACTGTTTTTTTTGTTTCCCACGATTGGGGGCGGGGCAGACGAGCAAGGCTCTGGGCTGCGCACTGCACGCCCCCTCAGGTAGCCCTGGCTGGTCCCAGCAGCAGAGGCCAACCGGACGGGGTCCGAGTCGACGGGGTCGGCGATGCACCGCCGCCGTCGGCGCGGAGAACATCGGGCTCTGCATCGAGCCGCATCGCCGATGCGTCGGCGACGCGGCGCGACCATCCGACCACACCTATGAAGGGGCCCCAGGACACACAAATAAATACACACAAATAAAAATATTCCCCATATTTTCACATATTTTCTGGGTTTCTGTCTTCCCCCCCACTTCCCATATTTTCCCATATTTTCTGAGTTGAGGGGCCCCTACGTTCACAAGAAGGGGGCAAACCAAGAATACCAAGAATAGGCAAACCAAGAAACCAAGAATCATTACCAATAAACAAACCAAGAAACCAATAATTCCAAGATATCGAAACCAAGAATTCGCCATAAACCAATAATTGCAAAATACCGTTACCAAGAAATAACTGCAAACCTCAATTCCAGAGGCACTGACGTGTCGACCGACATGGGATCCCAGTTCCAATGCGACCCAGCACAACCACTAGCGGCTCACATCATGACGACGATGTGACAACGTCAATGATAACAACGATGATTTCGACGAGCAACCCGTCAACGCAATGGACTGTCGCACGAGGTCTCGGCGCCAACGGAAACTGGGAGCAGGCCTGTCCGAGTGCTTTTCCTCCCCGGGATGTCTTGTGACCGCCCCCACCCCTGACAATCGGCCTGCTCCAGGCCAAGCTGCGTGGGCGAGGCAAAAAAAACGCGGTGGCGGCCTTCGTCCACCGACGCCCAGGAGTCCTGGGATCCTGACTCTACGCTCCCTCGACCAGGCCAGCGCACGCCAGCAGAACAAATCTCGGGGCCGCGTGCGCGGGGGGCATGCGCAAGACTGCCCCCCCTCCCCGCTCTAGACCAGAACGGAGCGGGCCCCATGGCCAGGGACATGATCCTCCTGGCTCCGCCCCCCCCCCTTCATCCCCACTCCTCCTACTCCGACTCCTTCTCATCATCCTTCTTCTTCTCCTCCTCCGGATGCACTACAACATAGTGCACGCGTCCGCGGCACACGCCCACATCGCCGGGACGACTGCCACCTACTGACCTGGCTAGTCGTAGTGGTCGAGCACGCCGCTGGACTCGACCTGCTCGAGGGCGCGGGCGACGCAGGGCGGAAGGCTCGCCCAGACGCCCTTGTCTTTGAGCTGCTTGTTCACCTGGGCTGGATCATTCTCCTCCGCCGCTCCCCCCACCGCCCCCTGGCCGTCCTGATCCACGACCGCCCTCCTCCTCTTCTGCCCTTCCTCCTCCGTGCGTCTGCCCTGGCCGCCCCCCTTGCACGAGGAGCCTTCGGCAGTAAAGTAGCTGGCGCCACTCAGTACCACCTCCTCCTCTTCTCCTCCTCCTTCCCCTCCTTCCGCCTCCTCATCATTTCCCCGTGGTTCAGTCGCCTGCTCGGCCGCGTCCTTGCGCTTCCTCGGCCCCGTCAGCCCTTTGATGTGGAAGTGCACACTGTACAGCGAGAACGTCAGTGACACGGTGACGATCCCCAGCACCGCCACGTCGATGCACTCCTGAAGCTCGGCCGGATACAAGATGGCGTACCCAGGCGGCAATTTCACGTCTTTGATCATCTGGGCGCGCTCCTTCAGAGCTGCAGCATGTGTTGATATCTCCTTGTTCTTCTCATTGGCAAGCAATGCGCGCGTCATCTCTGGCATCGGGATGTCCATCAAAGTCGACTCGACAGGCTTCCAATCCGGAATCCACGACTTCAGGTTGTCCTTCACTGCCAACGTCGCCGACGCCCAGTCGGTGCCAATAGCGTTGACAATATTGCTGGCATCCTTCAGTGACCTGAAAGCCACCTCGGGGATCGCCATGCCATCGAACTCAACAGCATGCCCGGGCTGCGGCGTGGCCCAGCACTTCTTGAAATTAGGCAGGAAGTCCTCGTGAGAGAAATCGCATGACCCTTCGGCAAACGTGATCTTATTCTCGCGCTCATAGCGCTGGAGAACTCGCCCAACCAATTGCAACAGATCGTGGTGATGTGACATGAAAGTGGCCATGACGTTCAGAGTGTCGCGCTTGCAGTCTGGTTTCGGGCCTAGCTGTACCAGCATAACGATGCTGGCCCACAGGGTAACGACCTTCTTGACTGTCCAAATCTGCTCCAGTAGAGTATCGTCTTCTGATCCATTTGCCGTGCCCAATGCTCTGGCGATGGCCTGCTCCATCCCTGGGGCCACGCAAGGAGGCGCAGGGGCTGGTCCAGGCCCAGGGCACAAAATACCAGCAAGGTCCCCCCAGTCGGATTTGCATACGTCAGCGCACCAAGACTCAGTCAAGAAGTCGTCACACGGAAACCCACTGAAGACATACTGCAGCGCGTACTCCAAAGGAGCAAGGCCAGCACTCACCACGCTCTTGACTAACGTCCGGGACTCCGTGACGATGGGCAATCCTACCAGCTGCTCGATGACGCTCTTGAGAGCAGTGATACCAGCGTGCCCATCCCAAAAAAACACATCGAGGTTCTTCTGCTGCTCATCGCGGATCACGCTCAACTGCAAGAGGACTTCTTTCGCAGCAATGACGTCGCTGACTGGCGCTGATATGACCTGGACGAACTCCTGTAACCTCGAGACCATACTGCACATGTCACTCCACGCCTGACTGGATGTCGCAAACGTTTCAAGCGCCTCAGTCTTCTTGGGAAGTGTTCCAGCACGGTGAACCGTTGACTGAATGCGTTCTTTTAGAGTCTTGTATGCGTCGTCATGCCAATATTCGGGACGCTCGGCGGTCGGGTCTGACGACAGCCACTCTGCGACACGCAAGAAGATTGCCTCGCCAGCGTCGCACACCACGATGTCGACAAACCCGCTGAAGGTCCCCAGCTTCTGCTCGATCTCCTCGTCCTGGAGGTGCGGAAAGGACACCTCCCCGGCCTGGCTGTACAAGTCAGCGATCCTGTCCATGGTGGCCTGGGACGAAATAACACGATCGATCAGGGCAACGTCCTTATTGCGACTCATTTCGCGAGCCGCCTCCAGAATATCGAGAACCTGCTCACGCAGAGTGGAGCCCTTCAGTTTCGACTCCAGGATGGCCTTGCAATTCGTCATCAGCTTCGATCCTGAAGAGAAAACTCAGAGGATGGGGCCTGCCTCCTCCTCCTCGTCCTCCTCGTCCTCCTCCTCCACCTCTTCCTCGCCCTCCTCCTCCTCCTCCTCCCCCTTTTCCTCGTCGCCCTCCTCCTCCTCCTCCCCCTGACGACTTCGATGCCACATCCCAGGAGTCCTGCGGGCCAATCCTGAACGAACGAGCATATGGTCCAGCGCTCGTCCTCGACAGAAGTCCAAGCTTCCTGCGCGGCGGTCAACACCTCCTTCGCAGCAGGATCTGGACCAGACGCCAGGAGAATCCTGCGCAGCGCTGAGAGATCACTCGCCAACTCTGTGGACATGTGGGGCGGCAGCGCAGCACAAAGCTCCAGAAGATCGTGTCGCAGAGTGGACCCCCCGCCCTGGGCCATGATGCTGACCTTCATCTTGACCATCTCCAGCATGACGAGGTGCTGCGAGTCCGCCGTGGGATACCCTGCAGCCTCGAGGTTGGACGGCTGCAGAATCTGCCACATCTCGACGATGGTGTCCGCAAACTGGCAAAGGGGGAGGGGGTGCGGGGGGTGGGGGGTCGGCAGCCTCCTCTCCCACCTCGTCCTCCTGCTCCTCGTCCGCCTCCTCCACCGCCTCCTCCTCCTCCTCCACCGCCTCCTCCTCCTCCTCCTCGTCGTCCTCCTCCTCCTCCCCCTCCCCCTTCCCATCTCATCCTCCTCCCTCTCCCCCTCCTTCACCTACCCCAACTCCAGCGCTTGCCTCCGCCCCCCCTTGTCCACCAGCGCCCTCTCCTTCTGCCTGTCCTGCTCCAGTTCCTCGTGCCCCCTCGGCGCTGCCCCTACTTAAACCACCTCGCTCATGCATCTCCTCCCACCTCCGTTTCATCTGGAATATAGTCGCCAAGCCCCCCTTTTACACTGGACTGCCTCGCACTGCTTAGCCACGTGCAGCTTCAGGAGCCACGTGGGGTACGGCAGGGACACGCGCGGCGGGGTCGACATGAACTGGATGCTCGACGCGTACACCTTCGAGAACTCGAGATCGCACTCCCTGTTCTTGCACCACGCCTTGCAAATATTGAGCGCCTCCTGGGCTTGCTTCTTCAACGAAAGGTCGCCCGGGTCCGACGAGTACAACTCAGGGCGCTCCTCCTTCGCGTCGTCGGCAGCCTTGAAGGCCTTCTGAAGCTCGGCGTCCTCGACAAAGCAGCCCGCGAAATCCGACAAGTGCCGCTCCAACCTGCGCCGGAAGCAGTTGGACTCCGCGAAGAATTTCTCGTCCTCGCCGCACTCCGCGAACTCGGTCATCGTGTCCTGAAGCGGGGGGGGAGCTGCGAGGGGGCGCGGGGGCGAGGGCGGTGACAGCAGGAGGGGGTGCGTTAAGTGCCCGGCAAGGCATCTGCATCCGATCCCCCTGGAGGGAGGAGAACGAGGATGAGGAGAGGGAGGGGGAGGTGGCAAGAGGGCCGAGGATCAAAAGAGGATCGAAGAGGGGAGGACAGGGGAGGATGGTGGGAGGACAGGGGGCGATGTTGGGAGGAGGATCGGGGTGGGGCCGCCAATCCTGGAGAACCTTCTTGCGGTTGCCACTCTTCCTCCCAGGGCCCGCGCGGCCCTTCCTCACGTTCGGGGCCGCAGGTGCGTTCGGAGCTGGACGGCCTTTCTTCACGTTCTTTCGGGCGCTGGGCAGCTCGCTGGCAGCGGAGACTGCGGGGGTTGCGGAGGCTGCGCCTGACGGAACTGCTGCCCTCAACGTGCGTCGGCCACTGAACAGACTAACGCCAGAATCGCTCTCCTCGCTGCCTGCCGGGGTGCCGATGGCTGGCTCGAAAGCTGGCTTCAGTGGCGGAGCAGCTCCGCTCGA